CATATGAGAATTTCTAGATAACACTGGGACAGTTACTTTTTTTTTTTTTTGCTTCAGCAGAACAGAAATAATTTCTCAAACCACTCCAGTTCATTGTTTTATGTGACATCTATACTTTACTTTATTTATTTATTTTTCCCTCCAGGAAGGTAAAGTAGGACAGGGATGCTTTTGCATATGGAATTACTAATTGCCTGCTTCTTGGAAATAAAAGAATGATTTGATAGCATTGTCTGTGTGTATTGATAATTAGTGGAGACGTTTGTACCAGTAAGCTGCCAGGTGAATTGAACAAATAACTTAAACGTGCAACTTAGTAGATATCATTTCAACAGATTTTGCTCTGGTTTACTGCCTGTATTGTTTAAACACTATAATAAAAGAAGTAGCAATATTCCTTAGTATTAAAGTGCATGACAGTTCTAAAAATGACTTACCTTTTGGTTCTTAATTGAACCTTTCAACGGTCATTTGATGACCTCTCTTTCTTCTGACATGCTGGTTTAGCAAGAAAAGCTGCTGCAGTCTGTAGAAGTATCCTTCATATTAAACCGCTGAGTTTTTTGGTCCAAAACATCACCCTGAAAACTTGCTGTGGATTTTATATTCAACGCTGGTTTTCACAGCCCTGGTTCAGAGGAAGCTTTGGCAATTAAATGTATTCTGACTTCAAGGGACTGGGACCTTGACTTGTACCCTTGTGCCATCCTCGTTTGGAGACTGTCAGTTCCCTGCATGCTGTATTATGTATAAAGATCAGAACTTGCTGTTAAACTGGTACTTTCACTCTGTGGCAACGAGTCTCAAAAAAAAAAACAAACCAAAAAAAAACCCCACCCTGACTTGAGAGGAAGAGGGAGAGAAAACTGCATTTCTGTAAACTGTGTTAAATAGTCTTAACGATGCCAATGAGGTGAGTCCCCCACCCAGTATGCATGTAGGCAAATGCTGATTCAGATGCAGTTTTGTCATCTTTGCTGCTGATACTTACTGAATAGCAGTGGTGATACTCTGCACTTCCAGAACTTCCTGTCAGACCAGTAGAAATCCTGCATGAGTCTGAACATCTCTCTTAATTAAGGGTTTCTGACCAGCTCTGACAGAATCTCTAGGTCTGAAGCAAATTAGCAGTTTATGAAGCACTCCTTCTGACATGAGTGGCACATTATGAGACACCCTTCCCCCTTTTCTAATACTTTAGAATGCCTGAAAGAAAGCACAAGTGTTGTTCTGTCTAATAATAAATGCTTTTTTTTGTTTGGTTCGTTGATTTTTGGTTTTGGTTTTATATGACTGCCATCTTTCGTGCTATTTGGGGATCCCGTTTAAAATCCTTTATATACTCTTTGCTTCAGCTTTGAATCACTATGCTTTTTTCCCATCAATTTTCCATTAATTTTTGTTCATAAAGTTTGTTTGAAGTTTGTACTTCCAATATCCTGTCCTGGGCAGTATGCTTCTTCACAGAAGTTCTTACCTTGTAACTTTCTTAATCCTATTAAGCATTTCTACTTTTGTTTGTTTGTTTTTACGTGAGCGCACCTTTATATAGGATTAACAGTAACTACTTGGCTTCTGCTCCCTATGCTGACCTAATCTGTGTATCACTTGGTTACTAAACACTAATTGTTCTCCATAGCAGTCCCTAGTGTTCTTACGTTTTTATCAAGAAACAAATCTGGTCCATCTAAGAATGTGAGTTGGGCTGGCCTCCATTAGTAAATTTTTTTCCTCTTTATTATTGGATGGTTCATAATCATTTACACTGTTTGGGTTTTGGTCTCTTCTTAAATGGTGTCATTTTGTGCCTTTTTTTTTTTTTTTCCCCTCCAGTTTCTAAGCGTGTGTGTGTGCATAACAGAAGATGACAAATTTTCACACAACAAAGCTCTCTGCTGACTACTTCTACCTGCTTTGTATTGTTTCATCCTTAAGACGTCTTGATGTTGCTTCTTTACATACCTGATTAGTCAGTTCCTTCTTAATTAAGGCTATTCTACTGTTCACCCAAACCTTTCTAGATTTCCTCATTTCTTGCATTCTTCTGCTTTTCACTCTGTGACTTTTTACAATCTGCCCACTTTGTGTATATAAACTTCCTGAATAGACATCTGCCAAGTGTCCTCTTGTCCTTTCAAAAAGATCAGCTTTTACAGTGATTATAGACTAGCAATAAACATAGATACTTGTGCCTTATTTCTGTTAGCATACTTAGAATCTAAGTTTTGTTTGTTTGTTTCTGAGGTGCAAGAATGTGCTTTGAGGCCTGTATATTTTAAGCATCCTAGTACTGTGAAAATTAACCACGGGGTCTTTCTCTTCTGTAGCTCCCTCTGAAAGAATAGGTAAACTTGATCGTTATTCTATATAAAACTTTTTTTTTTTTTTTTTTCTGCTCAGGTGACAAATGCTCATCAGGAATCCTTAGAGAATCATGTGCGAGTGCAGGCTGCAGCCTTAGATAGCTTTAGTGAAATGAACAGCTCCTTGACATCAGCATCAATAGACTTGCAGGTACATTTTAATAGCTGTTTCACAGCTGACAACTGCCTTCTCTGACACGGATTTAAAAGCATACATAAAACATGGATGACAAATACAGATTCTAACACTAAACAAGCTCATAAAGTACTGTCTTGGATATCTAAGGCAGCTAATTTAGGAAACTAAGAAAAAAATATTCCAACACCTGTGCTTTTTAAAAACCTGTTAAAAAATAGTGTACAATAAGAAGGTTCTGATCTGTAGCAGACTAATGCCACTAGTTGTCTCTACGTGTCTAAGGTGAAAATGTGATTTGTTCTGTATTGTGCAAAAGGGTACATCTCCTGACTTATTTATACCTTCTGGTTAACAGAAATGGAAGTGGCATACTTGGATGCTAAACACTTGTGGACTTTACATACCTGAGAAATGTAGGGGGAGGGAGAAGGTGGGAATGAATTTTCTGTTTTAAAGACTTCCAAATTCCCACGTATCTAAGCTGAACAACTTAATGTTCCTGCTTTCTTGTATGTCACATTTTTCTCAGCCTAGTGCATTTAAAATGTGTAGCGTGGCCCTTGGAGAGAAGAAAGGAAGATTGTTGGGACTAGTATTCATACCGAAATGTATCCATGTTCCTTTCTTTTTTTTATAGTGTTCCAGGACTTGATTGCACTGAGCATGTTCCTCACAGAAATACCTTCTAGAAAACTAAATACAACAAAAGCCATAATTTTAAATGTTAAAAGTTGCAAAACTGTTCACACTGCATTGACACATCAGGAAACTCTCAACTGTTCTGTCTGTTCCATAATCTCTTGACTATATTAATTCACCAAATTATTTGTGATTTTTTTGTTAATATGTGGTTTGCCTCTTTCTTCTAGAAAACTCTAGTGGATGTTACATTGGAGAACACTGATATAAGGGAACAAATACGGAATTTAAAACATACACATGAGCAATCTATGGAAAAGCTGAGAGAGAAGCAAAAGCAACTGGAAACGGCACAAATTGAAAATCAGTTACTGAAATTAAAGGTGCGGTATATCAACTCCCCTAAGAATCTTGCACAGTAAGGACATTAGGAGTATGTTAAATGAATTCCTTTGCCTTATTTGTAAGGGGTGCATCATTCTTCATGCCTTCATCATTCCCTAGAGCTGATATATTCCTGTGAATCAATACTGTTTAAATAACAAAGACTCTTCAGCTGGCAGCAGTCAGTCTTTCCGTAGCATGGGATTACCATTCAGGGATATTGTTAGGTAAAAATTCAAACCATTACATGGTTATTAGTGTTCGTTGCTGTAAGTGAAGGAATATTATAACTCTATGCTATAAGAATTTCCTGATGTTGAATTTGTTTATTTGTTATTGCTCAATTTTTAATAGGTAATCTGTTAAGTCCTATGAGCATACGGTCAGCAGATACGTGCTGTAACAGCAAGTGTCTTGAGAAGAGAATTAAGCTATTTGTTTCAGAGAGATGCAAGGGAATAAAATGCAAACTGGAAGTTTTTATATGCCAGAAAACTTGACCGTTTTCTCCCCTCATCTCCCAAATGTATTCCTTTAATCTTACTGAAAAAAAAAACCCAAAACCCAAACAAACCACAAACAACCAAAAACCCCTCTTCTGGAAACCTTTGCATCTCTTAAAATTGCTCAAAATAGACTAAGTTGGATATAGTAATGTATCAGAACTTGTCACTGTGAAATTAAGGTAACTGCTGGTTTATTCATGTTAAATTTTGTCAGAGAAGATGTTTCTTTTTGGCTCTCTAGTGACTTGCATTCATGCTTAATGATGAATGGTTAAAAGAGAAAACATTAACATAAGTGCATAACAATTTACAATTCATGTTCTAGTTTCCTCTCATAGTGAAGCTTTCCTCTCACATAGTGAAGCTATAAAAGTAGGTGCAT